AAATTGTGGACTCAGAATATTTCTTAATCTTTACTGTTTTTCCAGTTTCTCTTATTCTTCTAACAGTTTTCTCATTTTATGTTTTAATACAGTAGCAACAACAGTGTATTGGTCAAAATTTGGATTAGACTTAATAGCTGCAAATGGACGTGGTCGAGAATTAAGCCGACCATGGCATGAGGGCGAGGAGTCGCCTTAAGAAAGATTAGTGCCGAGGTCGAGCAAAGGGTGTATGAAAATAACGGTAGGATAAGTTAGAATAGAACGAAGGAATATTCCATCGAATATTCCTTCAGTTGTACTTTTTTAGGGTTTTTCAGTAAGATCCCCTATAAATAGGAAGAGACAAAGAACAAAAAGGGGATCTTCACTTTTCAATAAGAGCGCATTGTAAAGGGTTGACTATAAAGAATATACAAAAACTTGTCTTCTTTACTGATTACTTTGTTCAATATACGTTGTTCATTCACAAGATCCAACAATTCCTTGTCTATCTCCATTTTCTATCACCCCACGTTGTTGTCAGGAAAGAAATCATCCAAGTCGCCTAACAATTGGGTGACAAATTCTTTCTTATCACATTTATTGTCATTATCTATCTTTATTGCATGCTTCTCTTACTACATTTATTGACAATCATTGAACATATACTTGATATTTATTATTCTCGAACACGGTCCCATATCTCTGATATACCCCAATTTTAGATCTAGAAATTGGCAATGTCGCTTGATGTTCCATGAGTTCTATGTCGTCATTGCTTCCGTGCAAAGTATCCCATTGTATTCTTCATCTTCTTCTTTGATGGTTAATTTTTGTAAACCAAGATTTCTTCTTCTGCATAAATCCAATCTCTAAATAAGACAGAAATCTCTAGGTTGTCCTCTGCTAATGAATGTCTATGGTCTCCGATTTGAAATCTTGGCACGCTAAAAGCGCTCTTTGAAGCTCATCTCGAGTCATTCTTGAAAGAGTTAAAAATGTCTCCACGCCCTCTTTATCTCGAGCAGTTGGATTTTCAGTTTCTGAAATTTCTAAATTCTCATAAATTTTACGAACAAGTCCCTTTGCACTTTAATTTTAAAGATGGGTTAGGTATATTAGTAATTAAATACACTAGGGGAATAGGAAAAAAATATTTTTTGAAATTTCGAAACCATTTCTTTAATGGCCGGTGTATAATCATCATTTTTTATGCTTAGTAAATACAACCGAAATTTCACAAACATACTATAATTTGTGTAACATTAGGATAATATACACCAAAAAATTACTTTATAGCATAACAAAATTTCTCTAAAAATTCAGTAAGCTCATGGATTTTATCCCAATCAAACTCGACAATTTGATCAGCAGCATTAGTAGTATGTGCATTAAATACCATTTGTATGGACAATCAGTAGACAGAAGCAACTTCTAACATTTCATAAGTAGAATTTCACCTAGTACAACAACCTTTGAAACTTTCTTATATGGAAGTTCAGCATATGCACATCGATCTTTAAATTTACGAATTCGACTCTCTTTATTAGCACGAAAAATATAGGAACAAGCATATTGTGTTTTAGCACAAGAATTAAAAAATAAATCAATACCATATTCTACAACCAAATTAAAATATGGCATGCACATCTAACATGGAAAATTGAGTCCATAAGTGAGCAAATTCTGACTTTTAAGCTATTTGATGTAGTGGTGTTAGGAGAAACAATATCTAATGTGAAAGTTAAAACTGTCAAATTGATTATAAAATTGAACAATTTTAAGAACAGTAGATGCCATATATGCTTTAATGTATTTTGAATCAACAAATTTATAACCAATAATACATTTTTGCATTTTCAGTTATGATCAATCCAATGACATATAACAGTTAAATAATTATTGCCATTAAGACTAAGGCCTATATCAGAAGTGATAGACACTTTACAATCGAAGTGGTAAAATACATAACGTATATACTGAAGATCGTCATTTTAAAATTTAAGCACATCATTTCTAAATGTGGTTTTAAGGAAACCTTAAAAAGCAGGATTATGCGAATCTTGTACATAATGCACAACAGCAGGATGAGAATGAAAGTAAAAGGTAAGCTACATATAGCGACAATTTTGCTATATTTTCGCGATCTCTATAATTGTTATAGGGACGTTGTATACCACCAATACTTGGGTTAAAGTATTGTTGGATATAATTAGAACCCCGCCAGATCCAGTAAGAGCGCAAGAACTAAATCTAGGATCCAGTATTTTTTCGGTATCTATTTGAACATGTATCCATAAAATTTTATGTTTGGTTTTAAGTGTTTCTTTGAACTCTCGGTCCACCTGATTTTTCACCGGTCTATGTGTAAATGATGAATTATATTTTTTACAAGCAGCAACTAAGGTTTCTTTATTGAAATCAAAAGAATTTCATAAAAGTGATATTCTCTGACATGTTACCTTAACCTTACCCTTAATAGGAGATATAGGGGGTGTGGGGGCGATAAAGCTCCAAACAGGAATTGAATCTGAGTTAGAGCTTCTGATACTTGACTGTTGGGTATTCCATTTAATTCATCTTCTTCATTTTCTTCTTCCTTATTAAAACCAAAATCATTACCAAATTGTCTTTCTAAAGTTTCACGCTCTAGTAGCTCCTCCGAATTAATATCATAAAAGTCGAGGGGTCGGCTAAGGAAATTTCAGTTTTAGGAAGAGAATTAAAATTACTACTAGAACTAGCACCTTTGATATTTTTTTTTTTTTTTAAATGGTTGGCATATGCCAAATACGTTTTTATCCGCCATAATTTAAATACGAGAATTAAATACGAAAATTAAGAGATGAAACGACTTCACCGTAATTAAATATTAAAACTTGAAGAATTTGCCTAAATTCTTGCTCCAAATACTTGACGAATTAATTTGAAACTTAAAACTTGCTCTGAATATTTGCCCAAATACTTGAAACTTAAATTATTATGGGAAATAAAGAGAATGATGAAGATAAAATGATTGATATATGTGTAAAATTATATATAGAGGGGGGGGGGGGGGGGAGGGGTAATTAGAGAATTGTGAAAAATTTTGAAGAAGGATGAAGGTATTTATAGTTAAAATTAGGGCCAAAATATAATTTAACAAAGTTGAGGGTTAAAATAAAAACTTGAGGGGGATAAGTGTGTTGTGGGGGGTTAGGGCCAAATATAGCCGTTTTTGGCGGTTGCCAACTACTGTTTTTGGAGATTTAGCCGGACCGGGCTGCTGGGACCAACGGGGTCCTGTCCCTCGTCCCTTTACCCCCATCCCTTGTCCCCCTAAACTCTAACGGGGCGGGCAGGACCGGGACGGTTTCGTCCCTTTACCCCCATCCTCTGTCCCCCTAAACTCTAACGGGGCGGGCAGGACCGAGTCGGACCGTCCCGTTGGACACCCATAATTTTTCTTAACTCTTGCCCATTTAAATGCGGCCACATTAAATGGAACAAATGGAGTATGTATTATCCCATTAGAATAAGCTGTCAAACTTTTTTTTTTGGCTGAATACATACGGAGACACTTAAAGTTGGCACAATTTTTCATTTAGATACCTGAACTCAGGGGTGTTCCTAATGAGCACGTACATTACATCAACTTCGTTCCAATTAGGCACTTCTTGCTGAGTTGGCACATAGAGTGAGTTTCACCCAATATAGGCGCGTGAAGAGCCCATAAAACATTTTTATTTTGTCTTTTTTATTTCCTTCTTCTTCTTCTTCTTTATGTTCACTACCATTTCCACCATTGCCTCCTCCACTTTCACCATTGTTGTGCCTCCACCGTTGGTTTAGCTCGAAAGTTTGAACCAATCCTTCTCCAAACAACCAGCCGCCGCCAAGCTCTCCCCTCCTCACCACCAAATTCTCTGCTGCCCTGGGTCTGCCGGTGGCGGCGACGGTGAACTGCGCCGATAAATGGTTGCTAAGTAGTTAACAGTTCTCGTTTGTTGATTTTTCATCAAGTTTTTGAATATCCAAGGGCTTTGTCTTAGTAAGAATTATTGCTCAGAATTTTGCAGTACTAAATGGTTTTCACCCATCAAAGAAATCGGATGTTATAATTTTCATGGTTTAAAAAAAATAAATCGAAACATCATTAATGGGGTCTTTATAAAGCTTGAAGGTTTAAAATGGTTACTTGATTTGATGAAAAATTGAGAAATTAATATTGGGGTTGTCTTCGAGTCTTGGTAGGGAATCTTTAGTTGAAGTTATAACAAATTTGGAGGAGTTTCTCTTGAAATTTTGGATAAAAATCGTGGTTGGAACAAGAATAGACATGAAGATAGTGAAGAACACCAAGAACAATGATTTTAAGAACACCAATGTGTCCTTTTTTTTTTTGTCTTTTCTTTAGTTAATGATGTGTCATTTTCTGATTGGGTATAAATTAAGTTTTTTTTTTTCTTTTTGAGAATGTTATTTTATTTTGTTTACTAAATAGATTTTAAAATAGTTTTTTCTTTTTTTTTTAACTCAAAATGATATATATCCTTTTTTTATTTGTCATTCGCCACGTCACCCGCAAGTGTATTGCACACACTTGTAAGTTTGGCTAATTGTCAAAAAAGTGCCTAATTGGAACAAGTTTAGTGTAGTATAAGTGCTCAATAGGAACAGCCTTCATTTTAGGTGTCTAAATGAAAAATGGTGCCAACTTTAAGTGTCTCCAGATGTATTCCGCCTTTATTTTTTTTGGATCCGCAAAATATAGACTTGTATGTTTACTTCTTCCTACAAAAATCAAAAATTAAAATGACCATGTGTCGCAGTATATATTAGAGAATACTGTGTTTTCAATATTACTTCTTTCATTATGATTAGCTGTTCTCCATAACATTTCCAAATGCATCACTGGATTGAGATCCCCAGGTTTGACAAGATAATCTGCTCTCTTTTCAATCACAAGGAAAGACTATAAATTTGAGAGTGAAAATTAAGATAACTGCTCAAAAGAAAACAAAATATCACAACCATCGGGAAGAAAGCCAGCTGATAAACAAGATATTGCTGACCGGATGAGCAATCCTATAGCAACAAATAATGACACAGTTGGAGTTTCATGTTTTACAGAACAAAGCATAAGATGACACATCGGAAGTAACAGATAATAGCGAGTAGTGACCATCTAGGATAACACTTTCTTTTTACAGATGGTGGTATCCGTGCCAGCTTGCGTAAACCTCAATTATTCCATCGGGGACCTGCCACCTCCTACCAGTACATGCACCGGGTAACTCTACCGACGAAGACTTAGGCAAGTGGGAAGAAATCACATAGTGTTTTTTTGCCCAAGATTACACTTTCTAATCAAGCACAAAACACCTGTCCCTCCAGAAGAAAAAAGGGCACTAGGCCACCTTTCTAGGAAAGGGTTAAGAGGACTATTAACCACTAATAGTTTTAACTAACTGATACATACTACAGAGTACCATTTATATAGAACAATTGAATCCGCAATCGGACATTTAAAACCTGTATAAATCTTTCATATTATACTTACAGTGACAAGATTTTCTCCTAATCCTTCTGACTTACTCCTCCTTCAATTCATCCTGTGGCAGAAAAATAGCCTCGTGTTGGAGAGAGAGAGCTATCTATCTGACTTCTACATCTCAGTAGCAGCTTTAGGGAACTAACATACCTCAATGTAGCTTCTGAAATCAGAAGAAGCTTCGATGTGCCCTTCATTCAGATATGACTGAGCAGTATCTTCAATGTTGTCCAACCTGAAATGCTTTTGTATCAATATCTTAATTACCTATATTTATTTCAGGTTTCAATCATAAACCAGTACAGTTTCAGTAAGTCATTGTTCAAAGAATAGTTGTATCTTTATTGTTAATCTGTATTCAGGAAAATGCTTCAAGATGGAATAACAAAAATAATACACTCAAAGATTGATAATCAGGTGTCTAAACACAGACTGTATTTTAACATCACAAACCACAGACTGCAGAATTGAAAGAAAAAGATTGTTCAGGGCAACATAATACCTGTAGATATAATTTACCATTATGCCTCCACTTTGACTAAGGCCCTTTTGTGACCGATCAGCCATCCAGTTTAGCCTTCCAATCATCTAAAATTGATATTCTAAGTTATAGAAGGGGGGAATACTGAGAATACTAATGCAGAGGGACTCTGCTGAGCTTTTCTCACTCCATGCACAAAAAGGGAAAAAGAATAGATCCACATCTCATGCATATATAGTAACATCCACTTCAACAGAGCAGGATGATTATCCAATGATATATAGGAAAAGAAAAATAGAAGCATTTTAAACAAAAATGTGCATACAATCTTCTAAAAAGGAACAACATATCGAATCTTAATCCTATTATAGGATTTGAATGGAAAAGAAGTCAGTTTGCACAGATTTGGTTTTGTGACCACTAGCTAATTCCTGATACTAACTTGAGTACACATCTGGTTATCAGCAATACTTATACTAGACATAGAATTCGACGTACTCAACAAGTTCTAATAATCCAACAAAGTAATGCCCAGCGGATGTTTCTCTCTTCTCATAATTAGGTTTCACTGTTTCAGTTCGTATGCTCGCAAAACACCTCAAGATTGCATGCAGCCAAATGTTATTGTGTTTGGTCTATTAAAGCTTCAACTTGGCAGATCAAACCCTAAAATGAGTGTAGGTATTACTTATTAGCGCATTTCATTTAGCTTTTGTCCCGACGTCCCAAGCATACACATTCTGTACATGGAAATATTCTTTTCACGAATGTTCAGGTGAAAATAGGTTCTTGGGATCTCGGAAAAGCTGAATGTCGAGGAAGTTTTTGAAATTCAGAAAGTATTTATAAATTAGTCCTCTATCCTACTACATAATCAGAGAGGGATTCTGATAACTGTAACAATGAAAATCATGTGAGAGAAGTCACTGACCCTTCCCAGCAGTAGTTTAGAGAGGAATAAGCAAAATCCATTTGTTTATCCTTTGGAGAGTAGTTAAAAGTCTTCTCTCTTGTTGGTTCTTTACTTCAATATTAACCAAAAAGTGGTTCCTTTTTTTTATTCAAGCACCTAAAAATTTTATTCACATAGAAGAAACCAAAGTAGAAAGTGAATTTACAGAACATGGACCGCTTGGCATACCGCTCCATTTTGTAAGTGGAAATTTGCAACCGAATCTAGAGCTTTTCCTCTCTTCTTTTCTTTCAATAGGTACCTGTTCCAATCAAAGAAATAACGATACGGCAACTCAATTTATGATATTATCTCAATACTGTAAACTTTCACATGATTAAATGCATGTCAACTTCACACTATACAGCTGTACAGCTATAAATGCAACAACAGGCTTTTAATCACTGTGAAGCAGATAATCTTGACATAAAAGAAACATCTTGTTTAAAGGTGCAAGTTTTTACAATCACATTGCCCTTAATATCACCACCAGGAAACCCAACAAGAAAGGAAGACAACTCATGTATAAATGGAGGATTTCTAAAGCTTCCAATATTTAGCTTTAGCATACCTGGCACAAAGTCGCATCATAGGGGTTCTCAATGCAGATACCAGATTAGGCGAATTGGTCCACTCATGGTTCTTTGATGTCACTAAATTCCACATTACTTCAGTACCACTGCTTCCCGTATTAGAACCTCTGCAAGAAAAGATAGATCGTTAGGAGGACAGAAAATTGTTACTTGGTAAGTTACAACAACAATCTCAGGGAACAACAAAAGCACAAATGTGTTCAATTTGAAGAAAGTTTGCTATATTTTAGAATGAAGTATCTACTAGATATGAAGTTAATCCTTTATATATTTGTTCTCTGTCTGAAGAAAAACATGCAATAGTAATATGCTCCACCTAATTTTATGAATGAATTATCCTGGAACGGAGTTTGCATGGTCCAATCATTGCCATCGTACACCACGGTGACAGTTACCCATGAAACAGGGTAGAACACATTCCCGAAAATTCAAGCAACATTTTACTAAATAGGAGAGCGATAAATCCCATGCCGTTGGTTCCCAGAGTCAAAATTAATATATCCTCTCTACATTCTCAAGCCAGAAAATGCTATAAAACACACGCTTACCCTGATGCATCCATAAGTGCTTTTTCTTCTTCCGGTCTAAGCAAATTTTCTTTGAAGGCTGAACCAGACATCTCTGATGAAGCCAACTTTGATAAGAGCCATTGCCTGTAACCAGGGATAGGACTAAGAGTAGCGAATACCTGCAGACCAGTTCTGTATATCATTTTCACAGGAAACCTTACATGTGAGATATGGTTCATCAAAGAACTAAAAGTTTGATTATGAAACCTGAAAACACCACAAATTCATCCAGATAAATTTAACATTTAAAGTTATAGACTGAAGTGCTGTGGAAGTTGAGGGCTGGATCTTGTTCAAGTAGGACAAGTTAAACACCATTAAAGATGCCAGAAGTAAAGATTTGAGTGTCTGGTTTATAAACAAAAGCTTCCTAGGAGAAACAAGCAGTTCATCCAAGACATATCTGCAGAATATTTCATTGAAAGTACTAGTAGCAGACAATCCCTTAATATGAAATTAATTGTGATTAATACATAACAAATTCTTCACAGCTAAATTATCTTTCTTCTCTAAATTAGCAATTCCACTAAAATTCTATTCCCTATGCAGGGTTTGGAACTTGCACCTCAAGAAGACAGAAGTGGTAGAAGTAATTTAAAGAGTTCTACAAACACATCCGCTTCTCAACATTTTAACTCCAACTCACAGTGGAAGTTTACATGGTAGTCGCGCAAAAACCCAGAGCATTTGATGAAAATACCATAACTTACAGAGATATTGGGCATATCTTTTTTCACCACATCAACCACACGTTTAATAAGAAACTTCCCCAGGTTGACTCCTGATAAGCCAGGCTGCATGTTGAAAAGAATAAAATACTCTCTTAGACGAAGGATCAACACAATAGCAAGAATATGAGGAAGAAGAAAATAGGAAATTGGGCATTCCAATACTAAATCAGTTTAAATCATTATTTATTTTTCTCAGTGAACAAAGAATGTAGAAATAATCGAAGTGCCAAGAGTAGATTGAAGGCAAGGTTTTCTTCCTCAAGTGCAAATGAAAGAGAGGATGCTCTCCTGAAGATTTCAGTCAGATGTGTGTAGAAATTGCATTTAACAGTTAAAGTAGAATTCTTATACTTCCTTTTCCTCTTCCAGTGAGCATCATATATTTGATTATGCTGCCTAAAGAAAAAGACAATTTTCTGACTCAAAGACCAGAACTGAAGAACTGTATGCTTCTCATTTTCCGGATAAATAGGGAACTACATGTCTATATCTTTCTAAAAGGAGGAAACCACTTTCCCCATCCCAGCAGTGAGAGGTGCGAAAGGTTGCATGTATCAGTTCCCTTGGTGACGACAACAAATTCTAGTTTTGCTTGCTAAGAAAAAGTAAGTTGCATATTTTCTGGTCTTGCATCATTTAAAAGTCAACATTTATAGTTTGCATAAATAGCTAACCAACTTTGGAAACAAGTTGTTTTCAGAAACAAAGCAGGAGTTGGCTTCCAAAAACAGGTGGATAACCAAAAAAACTTCCAATGGTACTTTTGGGCTGAATACGGGCCCTGCATCTAGAAAGTGACCAAAAGATTTAGAATTGCACTTTAACCTTTGTTCTTTCTTTTTCTGCCACCCAGAATTTTCTTCCTTCAACAGAAAAGAATTATTAGTTCGGCAGCATATGTGTAATCAGGTTTAATCTATTTGCTTTCATCCATATAGAAACCTTGGAAAATGTCTAAGGGCTTTACGGGGAACTTTATCCTGAATAACAAACACAAATGCTAATCAAACCAAACGGACAAAAATCAAATCAAAAACTCGACCATTTTCTAATCCAAATGCAACCTTAGAAATATCTAAGTTTCTCACACACGGGGCGGGGTCCGATACAGGTGCGGATCTAGAGTTCGGATCCTTCATGATCTAAATTTTAAGATTCGGGGGGCGGATCCAGGTATGGATACGGGTGTGAGGTATCAGCTAAAAATAATTCAAATATCTAAAAATAGATTTATAAGAATATGTCTAAATTATGAGACATTATATGAGAAACTTACAAGGTACTCCGAGAAGGAAATAATATTAATTTAGAGGAGAATCTGAGAAGGAGATAAAGGAAAGGATAGACATAGAAATTTCTATATACAAAGTATTCCATTTTCTTCAATTTCACCTAGCCTTTGTTTTGATTTTAGAAATCATTGTATTTGCCCCGAATTTCTCCATCAATTTGGTCAAAGTACCCAAAATCGGTTGACCTCAGGCACAGATCCCACACCCACGTCGTGTCGACATGGGTGCAGCACCGAAAGTGAAGAGCCCGAGCAACTTAGAGAAATATAGAGCTCTTCAAACCTAAGAAAGATGTCAGCATACCTGAGTTGATGAAATAGAGTAAAAAATTGCACAAGAAGCCTCATGTTCAGAAATTGGAGGATAGTCCCACAAGACCTCCTGCAATGATTAGAGAGTTGTTAATGGCAGTGAGCAGTGACAAAGTTAAACTAGAGTAATTCGAGAGTTTCACCTGTATGGTCGCCGCCACATCCTTCATAAGTGCAACCTCAATAAAAATAAGTGGTTCACCTGAAAAAAAGAATCAAACATTAGGCTTGATACGGTTAATTAGCAGAATGAGAAGTAACAAGGTGCTATGTTAGCAAGGATAGATAATTATGACGAGATCTGATTTAAGCAATGCTTCATTCCAGCCAAGCCATGAGAATTGGTGAACCCTATATGAAGACAAAACTCCAGTAATTTCTCGAACTAAGACAAACATTCTAGTGCTTCTGGATCTAATCATCAAAGCCTTCCTGATGCTAGTCTTACTTTTATAAGAAAGTCGATTTGCTGTATGTATCTTATACTGCATAAGTAAAATTCGTCCGCACTTTTGAGTACTAAGAAGGACAGGTTGCCATATAAACATTCAACAGACCGCCTTAAGTCCAACTCTCCCAATTTTAGATACTACAAAATCTACACTTCAGGTTCTAGAAAATGTGCACCTCCTATGCTCTGCTTTAGAAAGTGATGCATAAATCTCCACCTGCTTAATTTTGATCAGCACGACCAACAACAAGATCATATGCTAAATATTCTCTTAAGAGAGGATCCAAAGCCTTGATATAGTAATTGCAGCATGTTCACTCTCATAAAGCGTCATTCCAATTATGAAACACAGGGGAAACAACCTTGAAAACTTTGTTTACCAGGAAGAAGAAAAATTTCCTCATAGACTACTGAATGAGATTTTTAGTCACAAACAATGTGAACGTAAACAGAAATGTGAGTAGAGTTCAACTCCTTAGCCAAGAAAGGGATTGCTAACCAGGTATTGCTGGATGGAAGTACCCGAAGCAGCGGCGACCTATTCCCAGCCTTCTTTTCAGATCTATAAGATTGCTAATTGGATGCACAGCCTAAGCAGAAGAAAAATTTGTACAAAAATGTAATGTCAGAATATAATACATGAAGGCAAAGTAGGAAGAAAAAAAAAAGGTACCTCATATGCAACAATTTTTTCCAACAAAGACGCAGGATCATCCCATGTAATATTGTGAAGCTCCAAATTAGCAGGACTGAGCCATGTAATCAGTTTATCCTTTAAGTGGGAGTCTAATGCTCGCAGAGATGCTATATTTACGTCTCTGCAAATTCATTGAATAACCATCTATGAAGTCCCTGTTTCATAGGTATAAGTATTACAGAAAATTAAAAACAAATTTCCAATGAATCTATAGATTTTCACTGATCTTATAATTAAGACAGTGTTTGCACAAATAAAGCAAAGACAAATCACTTCATTGGGACATAAACTTACTCGAGAATACGAAGAATATCAGCTCGAATATCAGACAGGAACTTCAATCCCCCAGGATGTGTATTGAGCCGCTCGAAAAGAACTTCATACATAGGCTTGAGAGTCTGCCTCAAATTCCGCTCAATACGGTAGAAAGCAGATAAAGATCCTTCCTCTTCATGATCACTACTATCTTCAGCCTTATCTGTCAAAGCTCTAAACTTCTAAACCCAACTAACAAAATAAAAGTAACGAATAAGACACACTCATAAGAATGAAAACAAGACCCACCGCTTGGGAGCTGAAGATCAAGATGCTGCTTCATTAACTCGCGAACTTGGGTCCGATTGAGATCGTACTCTTTGGCTAGTGAAAGAAGTATCTTATGACGATTTTCCGGGGAAAGGAAAAAGTATCCCTGCAAAGTTAACATTCAACAATTACTAACTTGACAACTAACAAAGTATCAGCAGAAATAACTGATTATTTCGTGCTGTGGTGGAAGTTCACCTCTGAGAAGTCATCTAGAGCAACGTCTACAATTTCTGTCTTCTTCGTCGACATGGCTGAGTGCATTGACTCCCGTACTTGGGTGAACTCTCTGAAAGTTGAACCATTATAAGTAATTCCCGCAGCACCATTGACGATAATAAGTTACAAGTCTTCCTTTTTCCTTTTTTACATCTGTGAGAAAAATATTCTAACTATTCCGACCATAAATTTGATGGGTTTAATTTACATTGACATTTTTACTATTCGGACACTTAATACCAACTACAGGAAACTCTTACTCCCTCGGTACCCATTTTATGTGTCACACTTTCCTTTTTAATTTATCTCAAAAAGAATGACACATTTCTATATTTAGAAAGAACTTAACTTTAAACTTCCTATTTTACCCTTGATAAGATGATTCACAGCCACACAAATGCTGGCTTGTTTTAGACCTTAAGTTTCAAAAGTCTCTCTTTCTTTCTTAAACTCCAACTGTAGTCAAACACCGTCACATAAATGGGACAAAGGGAGATTTCCCAAAAAAGAAGTTATGTAACCTGTTATATACTGATAAGGCAAAATGCCTTCAATGTAGAACTTAAATCATTAACTTTTTAAAAGAAAAGCTTGATCCTGACATTAACAAACAATGCTTGACCAAAGGACTCCGAAAAAACATAGAGATGAAATAGGTGCTTATCATATAGACAATCAAGATTGTTTTATACTGGATAAATTTCTCTCTTTTTTTTTTGGGGTTTGTGGGGGGGGGGGGGGGGGGGGGGTTTGAAAGTTGAGTAAAATACAGAGATACAAACAGATAACGTATTAAAGACCTTTCTGGAAGAAGTGAAGCATCCGGAGAAGAAGAAACTTTATCACCTTCCGGTTGAGAGACTTGCATTTGATTCAATTTGCTCTGTTTTATATTCAATACCAAAGAAAAAGATTAAATAAAATAAAAACACCATAAAATGATGAATTGAATAAAATCCAATTAGGAAGGAAAAAAGCAGGAACTAATTCGTGAAAATTGTGTGATAAAAATGGAGGAGAGTGAAGTAAAGCTTACAGCGAGAGGTGAAAGAGGTCGCATTTTGGTACGCATAAGAATGGCCAGACCTTTCATGTTCATCATTCTACTTTTTCAGTTGACATATACAAATCATATTTGGTTTCTGTCTGTTTGATTCGTACTACGAATTTTCTTGGTAGTAACCGAAAGAAATTCACGGCAACGCCTAAACGGCGGCGTTTTCAGAGTCATGGGCCCGAATTGGCGGATCACTGCGTAGTCCAGTTTGCTTTAGCAAGCTACAAAATGGATAAGCCCAAATCTGTTAGCCAATCGAAAGTTGAAAATGCTCTCAGGCTCAATTGAGCTCGGCTACATTACAACAAATGACCTTGAAAATGGTCAATCTTGAATTTTTTCCACTTGACTTATGAGCAAACTTTTAAGCTCAAAAGTGGTGACCATAGGGAAAGTGAGAGTAACACTTATTAACACTTATCACGGGATAAGCGGGGTCAAAAAATCAATAGTGGCACGAATATTTCTATCATTCATCCGCTACATTACTGCCTTTACTGAGGAAATCATGAGTGGCCCAATTCATAAATTGAAGCGGTAAAAAGTAAAAATAGCACGGGCTAGCCAGTTTTCGGACTAGTCATTCAAAAATAGCCCGTTTTTGCAAAGTCATTGAAAAATAGCCATTATTTTGCTGCAACATGGAAAGTTCCAGCATAATATACTGGAGATCGGTGCACCTGTGTATGAACTTCCAGCATATTATGCTGGAACTCCAACACGCGAAAAGTTCCCGTATAATATATCTCCAGTATATTATGCTGAACCGCTATATTATACTGGAGTATTTTTTCGAATTTTGAACAGTGTTTTCGTTCAAATTTATCTTTACATGAAAAGTGCTAAATTTCGAGTACTTTTAAAACTGTGGCTATTTTTGAATGACCACTTGTAAATCTATCTATTTTTGAATTTTCCCCGGTAAAAATGATTACTAGATTGCCACTTTTAGGCGGTATTAATTGGAATAAAACCAGCGCATACAAAGTAGTTGAAAAATAGTAGCTAGAGCTTAAAAATGGGCAAATAGTTGAAACATAGCCACGGCCACGGGAACTTTAGAAATTTTCTTTGGAGTTTGAACTTTTGCAAGTGAAACACCAAGACAGTGAGTTTTAAACTTATATGAGTTGCACTGTTGGAAGTCAAACTCCAATGTATCATGAATTTCAAACTTCTGTAAGTAAAACTCCAGGATTGTGAGTGAAACTTCAGAACAATATCCTAGAGTACTTGGAAAATTTCCTAAACTTCTATTACCATTCAAAATAACTTTAGGTATTCATTTGAACATCGTTCCCATAAATGAAACCCAAAGTTGATATTGTTAAGAGGTTGTAGCTATTGCTTTTGCCAACTGGCGAATGTGCAAAAATATCATCTTTGAGGGCCAGAGGAGGAAGTAGAACAATCGCGTAAGAAGTAAGAACTGAAAAAGAAGATGAAGAAGAATAAAAACAGATAAGACTGAATCTCCATTCAGGCCCACCTATATCTCTTCGTCACCTCACAGACACCATTAAAGTTGAAGAAGCTGATCCTCATACTCTACCAACATCTTTACCAGGGACCCAAGCAAGTACCATTTTACTGGAATTCAAACCCAGCCTGCACCATTTGTCTCAATCAACTCACCAATAAATCACTTTGTGACCTGTTAAAGCTCATGATTACTATAAACCGCACAAAAACCATTTTGATTCATTTCCAAAAAAGCAGCTGTCTTTAGACAAGACGAAGAGAGCAACATAGGCACAGTGTATAAAGTACATATATGTGACATCTTAAAACTATCCCACTTTCTTGTGAAAGTTGGATCTAAAAGATACAAAATCAGCAACTATCACAATACAAGTATATTTTCCCTAGCTTAACTAAGATATAGTAGAGGTCTATGTTTATCCAAAGAAAAATGGAAAAAGGTTTTGCAACCAGTATGTGAGTAGCAAATGACAATGACAGTTTTCTGTGAGGTGATCACAACTTCTGAATAACAACTGAATTGGCCAAGCCTGCTTGCTCAATTGTTTGGCTTGGATCACTAAGGATTTTAGGAGGAAAACCAACTGCCTGTAGTTGGTAATCCCCTGTGGCACTGGGCCTTGAAGCACCGATGAAGGCACGAATATCACCAACTGTATGATGGTAATTGAAGGGTGCAACTATGCGGGTTCCATCAGCAAGTCTAAGTTGAAGTGAGGTTGATGGCAATGATTCATCCACAAGGAACGTAGAAGGTGTTTGGGTGTTGATCGGGGCAGAGGCAGATAGCTCCGAAGTTGCTGCAGTTGAGCTGCTGCCGAGTGTTCTTCCCACTCCTTGAAATGGAACTTGAGGTTTCTCTGGTTCCTGCAAGTGCATGGAGGAAGCGAAAAAATGTAAGCTTTACTTCAACTGATGTAGGACATGTTTATAGACAATTATTGAGCTCCTATACAGAAAACGAGAGGAGTTGAGTTTGGGAGTTAAAGGGTGATAGTTAAAGGGTGCTCATAGAGGATAAAAGGTGATGGCATTTACAAGTACCATTTCTAGGAGAAAGCAGAAAACAGAATTATATTTCGTGATGGTTTTGCTCTCACGTCTGAAAATCAATCACATCTGATAATGTACAATGTCACTAAATGATAGACTCACGTCTCATATTTGTGTTTGCTTCATATTTTTTCCTCTGTTATCTTTCTGCCTCTATTTCTATTTCTTTATAATAATTGTTGCGTGAAAAGAGAAGAAGAGAAAATGTGCAATTTAGGGGTGAACATTCAATACTTACAGAGAAGTTCTCATCCCTTCTTATGAGGTTGCAATGCACTTGGGACCTACTATCTGCAGGTGCCAGCTCTCTTGGACATTCGGACTTCCCAATACTCTGCAAATGAGGCACACCATGACATTCAACAACAACGAAACCAGTAAAACCCCACGAGTGGGGTCTGGGGAGGGTAGTGTGTACGCAGGCCTTACCCCTACCCCGATGGAGTAGAGAGGCTGTTTCCGAAAGACCCTCAGCTCGAGGAGACAAAAAGACAAAATCAGTATCACCGCAGAAATCGTAGAAAAAGTAACAACAACATGGAAACTAGAAGATAGAGAAGAGGCACACCATGACATTGTTAAACTAAAATCATCTCTAACTGAAACTTGGTCATCAAATACGAGAAATGTACAAAAGAACAGTGAAGAACTCAGAGAAACAAGTGGGAAAGTCTTTGGAAGTAGATATTAGATAACCATAAGGCAAATTAAAACATAACCATTTTCCAGCTAAGTTTCAAACTTCAAACAAAGTAGAGTAGTAACCTCCATGATATACTACAAATGCGAGGTTTGAATACAAAAGCTATGCTGCATGGGCTTATTTACAGGTACATATTTGATACGGGTATACATGAGTATCCAATACGGGACTAGCAGTTTTTTCGCTAATTTTTAGAGTATTATGAAGAATCTGCACAAATCACCCATACCCATGTCACACCTATTCGACAAGGGTATGCAAACAAATGAAGGATCCATGTATGAGAAAGGACGAAGAGGCAACATGAATTGATGGATGCATAATTCTCAACAGTGGAAGGATAACGGAGAAAATGGACTATTTAGTTGGGCCTATTACGCATTAGACTTAGAAGGATCCAGCCACAGTGTCAGGCAATCTTTGGCCTTTTTCGTGGCTTTGTTTTCATTCTCACTTACCTCCAGAAAAGATGCATTTTCAGGATCATCCAATCTCCTCAAAGGACCATCATTTACAGTAAAACCATTTCTCCAGAAGATAATGTTATGTACAATGGACTCAGGAGGTTGAGGAGCTGGTGCAGGTACTGTCTCCCCTGCAAGCGTTCTCCCAGTTCCACTAAAGCTTCTTGAGCTTGAACTAGGACGGATACTTTCCAAAGGACCTTGCATTGCACCCATTTGCCTAGCTCGATCAAAGATGGAGTCCACATCATTCTGCTTTGAAGGGTCTTGAACAAGCATTCCACTGCAAACAAAAAATGTAGCCACAGTTAGGGGAAGAGATTGCTTCATGGCATTCAGCAGTTCTATGTAATCTTTCAAATTTTATTGATCAAATCAATTATTTTCAGAATATAGTCACAACGTAAAGAAAACGTCAATGGACACAAGATAACAAACATGACTGTATACTCGGTATCTTGAATATTTAAAAGAATTGGTTAATGTGCCGTCCCATCTACTCTTCTCCGCTTAAATACCACCCCCACCCCATAACAAAATGATCAGGAAAATCAATTTAAAGCAGATAGAAACGATGGAATCACCAGCTCAGTTCTAACAACTGGATAATTAGTACTAACACCTCCAACTAGAAATTTAATTTATTTTCCCAAAAGCACCTTCTAACGCGAAAACTGAATATAAAATTGCACAGCAAGGCGGCAAAAGGCCCTCCAAGTCTAGCAAAGAAAATGCAATCAGTTTCATATAAACGGCAAAATTTGACACGCAATAACAAATCAAGTAGATGAATAAAGACTTTTCAATTGAAATTCTTGTAAATTACAAGAAATGTATAAAATCCAGAAGTTAATACTCAGCTAGGTAACAACTAACAAGCAATTTGCGAATATGAAACAGCAATTAGTAGAGTAATAAATGAGAGGATAGGACAAAATAGAAGAGCTAGAGTTTTGAGAGAAATGATTGCCTCTTTTCACCACCAGTGTAGTATTCTTGGGGATTATCAGAGTCGCTGTCTGAATCGTGTCCAGAAGGACGGTTCAGATCAGATAGTGTTCGGATACCGCCGGCGGCGGCGCGTCCAGTCGACGGCTGCCTAGAGGGTTTCTTGCTATCCCGGGAAGACATTGCTTCTCTGCACTGCTGAAGATTCAGAGAGAGAGAAGAGGGATCGGGTATATGATTCCTTTCAATCAGCTATTGTTTTTTCGGTTTTTATTTTTATCTTTATTTTGACGAGCTTTGGTGGGTATCCACGTTTGTGCGCCCGATGCAGCCATTGATTAAAACAACCGTTAAGGGTCTAATTTGCCCTTATACTATAAATAGGTTTTATTTATTCCCGTTTGAGTTTCTTATCAAAAATATCCCCATCGTTGTACATTAATTGCACATTTATTCCTGTCCCGTTAAAAGCGCCCTCCCAAATTTTTAAAGAGCACGTGGCATCCTCTTATTGGGCCAACTGACCCGCCCCAACTCTTAATTAAAACCCGCCCGACCCAGCCATTAAACTTAGACTCATCGGTAAAATTTAGTCCATCTCCTTCAGAAAGAAAATACCTAGGGTTCATTCCCATCGCTATTTTAGCTCCATTGTAAAGTCTTTCTCTCCCATTTGCTTTCTTCTTAACTTCATAGAAGGGGTTGTGAAGGTTTTCCACCATAGCAAGTTTCCTCATGTCAGAAAGTAGTTATTCATCAAAGAGGAGGTGCCATTGCGGGGAAATTGCCAACCACTTCACTTCGACGACTCCATATAATCCTGGAAGGAGATTCTTTAAGTGCCCTAAACCTGATGTATGTATTATTTCTTTTATTCTGGTTCCATTTGATTTTTTCGATAATTTAATTTTCCCTTGTATTAGTGGTTCATAATTACAAGTTGTATGCTTTGTGTTGTAGATAAGCTCGTGCGATTATTGGGAATGGCAAGATGATGGGTTACTGGATCGAGCAATCATTACAATTAACAATATGAATTACAAATTGGATGCCGCTAATGTTAAACTCAACAATATGAAGTCGACGTTGGATGCGATTATTCTTGAAAGGGACAGATTAAAGGAAAGAGTGGATCGCTTGAAGGATTTAAAGAATTCGGAAGCGAACAAAGCTCGTAAATTGGAAGAGAAAGTCCTAAATATGAAGATCTTCATTATGATTTCATGGGCAACATTTATAGGATTTGTTGCTGCAATGCTAATGAAGTGAAGTTGATATATGAGGTGCAACTTTTCAAGTTTTTGTATTGGTACTTAAGCTGTAAACAATGAAGTGTTTCAGTTTTGTTTTAACTTGGTATTGGTACCAAGTCCTAAATATGAAGTCTTAACTTGGTGCCTTGTTTATGGGATATTAGGAAGTGTTTCCAGGTTCTTTAGTTCTGTTTTCAAATAGTGAACTTGGTGTATTAATTTCTTTTGCACTTGGTAAATGTGAACTTAGTTCTACTTGGTAAATATGTACTTGGTAAATATAAACTTGGTATTTCCAGGTTCTTTATTCTAGAATTGTTATCTGCTTATTGAAATGAGACACTGTCTATTTCATCCTTACTCATAAGACTAGCAGCAAATCGGACTGCATATTAGTACACTGAAATAAAACACTAAAATGAGACAAATCTGCATCTGCATAACATCTGAAATGAGACGAATCTGCATATTGCTTTACATCAGCACTAAAATCTGCATTTCGCTTAACAATAACTAAACAAATCTGCCTGCATATTGCTTAACAGTAACTAAACAAATCTGCCTAGAAGCACTAAACAAATACTTAAATCAACTGCATAATGCTTAACTTAGCAAATTTCAGTTTGATGGACTGTTGGATGCAAAATTATGACCCCCAAAAACTTACAGACCCTTGGTCATAATACGACCTCCAATTTACCATCAAATTAAACAAAAAAATAGCAGTTGATTATACTGTCAGAATGCAGTAACTACAAGCCCAAAAGACTTCAACTACCACACATCATTTGTTTCTCTTCCTTGGCACCAACTTCTCAATTTTTTGCCTACTTTGCATTTCCAATTATCTTCCAGTAATAGCAGCTTTTCTCTTCCATGTGAGGCTGCCTGGTAAGTAAGGAAGATTTGATGGAACACTTAAACCATTATGATCACCTTTGAATGCAATTACCCTTGATCCTGAAGGTTGTGATGGTTGTTGTCTCTGTTGAAGCCTTATTTTTTTCTTCTGACACAACCATAGGCCTTATAGCTGGTTCATTTTCTAGTTCTGGATGCTCAAAAGCAGGAAATGAACTGCTTGAAGTCTCACTATAGACACCTGGTGTAGGCATGAAAACAAACTCTGGGCTTTGACTTGCTTGACTACATTGGGGTGCAGTAAGGTTGATTTCTTCTTGTGGATGTTGCCCCACTTCTTCATCTTCATCAAGAATTCTTTGCCTTTTCTCCTTGTTGGGTGGCTATTAAACAAGTTAGAGATGTTAGATAAATCCATTAATGAGTAAATGAAATTACTAAATTACTTCCTACCTTGTCACATCCCCTAGCATTATGCTTTGTCTCTCCACAATTGCTGCATGTCATAACTCTTCCCTTCCTAGAAACTCCCCACTCACCTTGTCGTTTGATTGCTTCATCTTTTTGCCTTGATCTCTTGATTTTAGGCCTCCCAGCCAGCTTGACTAACTCGGGTGGTTCATTGCTTGAGATTCTTCAACTCTCCAAAGTTTTTCACCCCTGACTGGCTGCAATTTGTGTTTATAAGTAAGCATGTATGCTTCTTTGCTATACTACCAATTTATTTCCTTCAAAGGATCCATCTTCTTGTACTGAATTGCTTTTATGGCATGGGGGCATGGAATTCCAGTGAGATCCCATCCCCTAAATGTGCATCTCTTCACAGCCATATTGACAGTGTGCATATCTCCCTCTTCTCTGACTTCATATCCAAATTCACCATTGGAGTTAACAACATATCTATTAGCTATCTTCAGGTACTCATTGTATAACTTCATGCTATGTGGACCGAAAGATGTAGCCCATAAACTAGCAGATTCTTCTCTCTCCCTCAACTGGTTCATAAGCTTAATCCTTATATCCTCAAGCATGTTAATGACTGGCTTCTGCCTAGCTTCTAAAATCCATGCATTTACGGATTCTGTGAAATTATTGTCAACTCTTTGGTTCTTACACACTGTGTCAAAATAGGCTCTACACCAAGCTTGAGGAGGATATTTGAGTAAGGCTTCTGCAGCTTCCTTATCCAGTTTACCAATGCTCTTCAACTGGTCCTTGAAGTCTTCCTCATATGAGCACCATGAACACCATCATAACAACTTCTTGAACTCATCTGTTCTCCATTTTTTGTACCAGTTTGCCTCAATGTGTTTAACACAATATCTATGATTTGAGTCTGGAAGCACATTATGGACTGCCTGAATCAATCCCTACATAAAATAAATTCAAATAAGAATAGTTAAAGGACACAAATAAGATAGACTTAACAGTAAGAAATAAATAACTAGAATGGGAAGACTACCTTCTGCATGTCTGATGTTGGGTATATTTCTATATGTTTTGATGTTACTTTACCCATGTGTTAACCGCTTTTTGTTGCTATTTGGTGTTAAAAATACCCAACATGGTTTAATTATTGGTTTTATGACTAATTGAGTTGTGTGTGAAGATTTAGGGTGTTTGGAGAGCAAAAATATAAAGAAAAGATGCTCCAAGTAGAGGAGAAGAGGGTGGATGCGTCGCATCCAACCTTGGAAAGAAGGTTACTTGGTACACCCTTAGCAGTGAAGTCAGCCCATAGTATCCGCACCTGGGCGAAGCATCCACCCTAGCATGCGAAGCTGAGAAGTGGAGGACGAGGTGGATGCAAAGCATCGACCCCAGCACCAATCCCTGAAGCTGAGTCGGACTAGGAATAGGAGAACTTTGGCCCACGACTTTTGTACGCAATATATAGGCCAAAAACGCCCCTTTTAGGTCATCTAACACACTTTTTGAAGGGAATTCAACCTAGGGAGAGCAAGGAGCTGCCGTGGAGGCCGGGTTTCATCTTTTTTCCACCAAACTTTGTAATTTTATGGTTCTTTGTATGATTTTGCTACCATGTCTATGTGGAGCTAAACTTCACGTTCTAGGGTTGTGGTTCTTTCATGACTATTGTTATTCGGATATTGATTTTGATTTCTTAATTTGTTGTATTGGTTTATTTATTCAATCGTGCGCTTAATTATTTGATTGCTTGATCACCAATTGAATACTATCTACGAATCTAGGGTTGAACTCGAAAGTGGGAATTCTAGATTGCATATAGGATTGAGTAGAGCAAGTTCCTGAACATGGGCATCGGGGAACGGATTCGCGGTTAGGATAGACATATACCTAATTGCCTTGCTTGGTTGATTTACAGGAACTATAAATGCACTCTTGTTAGTTCTAATTCCATAGACATATAGGCGTTAGGTTATCTTGAATAGGCGAGTAAGAATTCGACAGATTTGTATGAGCAATATTAACCCTGTTAACTAATAAACTAGATAAATTAGTTAGTCAATTCAATTGAAGAATACAATAGGAATGTTAGATATCCCATAACCCTAGATCGTTTTCATCACATTGATAATATAAAAATCTGCTCTTCCTCTGTTTATAGTTCATTAGTTATTTTCTTTCTAGTTTAATTACTTTAGCAAATCCTTATTTAGATAATTATGATAGTCTAATTTAGTTAATAGTTAATCACAAGTCCTCGTGGGTTCGACATCCGACTTTTAGTCACTTTATTGTTTGACGATCGCGTATACTTGCGTGTGCGTTTGGCCGCAACAATGTCTGACATGAAGGTAATCCCTTTACCCTCTTTGAGATCCAATGACCTTTGAAGATATTCCAAGAACCAATTCCATGTTCTCCTAGTTTCCTTATCTACAATTGCCCAAGCTAGAGGATAGGTTTGGTTATTACAGTCCAAACCAACATCAATTAACAATTGACCTTTGACTTTCCCTTTAAGAAAGGTCCCATCCAAGCCAATGAAAGGTCTCATGAAACCTTCCTTAAAACCCATCTTAAGAGCATGGAAGCAAATATACATTCTCAAGAATCTTCTAACACCTTGAGCAAGTGCATCCTTTGACAAGTTAATGATCACATCAATCCCTGGATTACTTTCTCTAAGTTCATTGGCATATGCCTCAATTTTATTGTATCCATCTGTAAAACTGCCTTCTAGTTTCTCTAAAATCTCTCTTTTAGCCC